GCAGGAAGCCTGTGGGACTGGCAGAGCTTGTAATGGACATCATGGAACAGGGCACACTGGATCTGCAAAGAGTCAGAATAGCAGAAAAATGCTTACAAAGAAGGGAAAACATTCCTCAGATCCATGTGACTCCATCAGCCTGGTTATTCCAAGCTGGTTTCAGTAGCAGTTATTGATGGTTTATTGGGTTGTTTGTCTGTTTCAGTGGGAGTTTAGTGCTGGAGAATGATTTTGGTATGGGAAAGGACAGATGTGGGAAGGAGGTGTCATCTGCACACATTTAATCCCTTCTTTTCACCACTTCTGACTCCCAAAGGGAAGCTTCACTCCACAGAGCTGACTGATGCAGCTTCTTTGTGGTATCAGGGAGGCAAAACACAGCCAGGAGTAAGGAGTTTGGATTGTTCTGTGCCCTTCAGGGTCTGAGAATCAGGCACATGCTCTTAGAGAACCCTCAGGATTGGCTTCATCTGCATCAGGCTTGTGCAGGTTAAATGCCAGCACTGAATTCAGCCCAGAGGTGATCCTGCTCCTGGCCTCTGGTTAGACACACAGTGCTGTGTGAGGAAGGACATGCAGGGTGGCAAGCTGCACAGAGCAGCCAACCCTGCCCTCTGTGGAACCATGGGAGCTGTGTGCTGCCCCAACACAACACAGTGAAGTGATTTTGGGGTAGAATTTTCAGTTGCCCAGCACCAACATAGCAATCTTAAGAGAGTTTAAGTCTAACTTTGATTCTCCCTCCTACGGTTTTGGTTTTGGGGTGTGTGTGTTGTCCTTTCTCCACTTAGAAGACATAAATAAAGCTTGAAAAATATTACATATTTAAACCAATGGTAACTCAGGCAGAGTAAATACTGAGGCTCTTTAGGAGCCTCCATGCCATTTGTCACATTTATTACATCCAGCACCATCTGCTTTCCTGCACGGATTCAGGGCTTTATTAACACTGTGACTGGCCTGGGCAGCAACCGAAAGCAGGACAGATTCAATTGTTATTTCCCTCTGGATGTCTGGATAGATCTGTGAAGAGATTTTGCAGCTTGAGAGAAAGCTGCTACCCTGCACTCCCCCCTAGGAGCCATTCAGCCTGCGAATGCACTGAAGAAAATGCGTGGAACAAGATGAAAATGGACTTTCATCCTCTGCTGAGGTTGTTCCTCGCTGGCTTTTTAAATCTCTCTCTCATGCATTTATTACTAAACCATTTTCACAGTTTGTTCCCCTTCTCCCAGGAAAGTGGCTGTCCAAGCAGAGCTGCTCCTGGGGTTTGCAGTCTTGTTAAAACCCAAATGGATCTGTCAGCTGAAGGGCTTTTGAAATCAGTTGTAAACATTGGGATTAGTTAGTACACAAAAATGGTGCTGCAGTGCTTGACATCTGAAAATGAGAAAGTAGAGGAACACCTTCATGTGTGGGAGATGGTTGTTACAATGCAGAGCTGTGGTAAGTGGATTTATAATCAGTTTAAAGAAGTAATTTTCAGATACATTTTTCAGGTTGAAGAACAAGGAAAGCCATCATTCCCTGTGATTAGATGTGCAGTACATTGTGGTACACAAGATGTTCTTTAGCACTCAGCTAGGTGGGGTAACCAAACACAGGAATAATCTCACAGTGGAAGGAAATAGGACTCCTCAGGGCAGTATTCCACAGGGAAATTCAGCTTATGCCATGGCTCCTTCAACACCTTCTGCTCAGTTCTGTGCTTCTGGTTCCACATCTCTGTGGTGAGGCGGGTTCAGATGGTTCAGGACTCTCTTCACCCACAAGCAATGGATGTTGAGCCTGCATTTCATGTTGCTCTCATCACCTCCTGCTAGTGAAATGGCTTTGTCAGAGGCTGCTGTTAAGCCATGGAGTGTTTGGATACAGCTGCCTAGAGGTCTGCTAGCCCTAAGTTGTCATCTGCTAGAGCTCTACTGATGGGCCAGCAGTAAATAAGGCAGATAAACACACCAAAACACCAAATAGCAGCAGGGAGATGGGCACCCGAAATGTGGTGCTTTAAAGAGTTTTATGAAGGAAAGGTAGCACTTGTCTGTGTTACAGAATCACTTTACATTTAGCATTGTGTGAACCTTGGTTTTCTAATAACCTTTTTCTAGGGCAGAATTTTCTGACCATCAAGTGGGACACAGGCCTCCTGAATTCCTTCCCTGACTTGTGCCATAGATGAGCTCTGCCTTCAGGTAAGACCTATGTTACCTCAGTTTCCTCTGGAGGTGAGGAAGTTTTCTCCCTCCTGCGGTACTATGATCATGGATAGATGAATGTAGCTAAAAGGCTACATAAACGTGCAGGTATTACTGAAATTCTTCACTAATATTGCTCATGAGGCAGATGAAATAATTGATAATTGCTGTGCCTTCACTACAAGAATACTCATTTGTTCTGCAAACAATAACAGTGATGAGTGCAGAGAGCAGATTTCTGAGGTACCTTGTGATTAGTATCCATTGCTCTGAGGTTTTTACTCTGGAAAGAAACTAGAAAATTAATCAGAGGCAGAATGATTATAATTGAAAAGGGACCATCTTGACCTGGGAATGTGTGGTTTGAGAGTGGCTCTTGGGCACTGTGTGCTAAATCACTCCAGCAGCGAGACAGATGTAAAGGATTGGCCAGCACAGAGAGCAGCTTCAGGATCTCCTCTGTAAACAAGCAGCGTTGCAAAGCCCAGAGCCAGCTCAGAGAGGAAGAGACTGCTTGTGTCTGAGTGCTGTGACTGCAGGCAGCTGAGAGCACTGAAACCACACACACTCCAGTCTTTGCTTCCAGGTCTGCAAGGTGTGGACGAGGACCCCAGCAAGGCAAAGTGTGGAGAAAGCTGTTCATCTTCACTGGTCACTTCATCTGGATGAAAGCTGAGTAGGAATATTTACTTGGGTAGAGGGCGAAGAGCGTGGAAAGATGATTTGAAGTCCAAGAACTGTCTGAAAGTGCCTTGATATTCTTAGCAAACAGCTGTGCTCAAAGGTGGAGGAGGATACTAAAGCCAGCAGCCTATCAAAACTAAGACAGCAACTGTTTGGAACCTCTTGGGATCATAATCCTAGGAAGAAGAACAAATTCAGTAGTACTATGGATTCAAAAGCAAAATAATAGCTATCATCAAACTTCCAGCAGCCACATCGGCTCTGAAACTGAGGCTGGGACACTGCTGGAGAGCATTCTGAAAGGAAACAACCTGTGCCGGGTGCTGGGAAAGCAGGTGGCCAAAAGAGGCCTTTCCCTCCTTGCTCCGTTATGATCTCTGGATAAGTGTTCTTGTCCCTTTGTGGAAGAGGCAGGAAAAACCTCTGCAAATTCCTTCCCAGGTCTGTGGCCGAAAGCGAAGAAGCCCTTTTGGATAAGAGAGTGGGTTGATCAGTGATCTTCTTGAAGAATGTCTGGCCAGGACACTGAGGACTTCGGAGCAGGAAAGCTCTCAGACAAGTCTCAGATGCTTCCGAGCCTCCCACCGTATGACATGGATGACCAGCTCCTTCCCAGGGAGCGCCGGAGCGCCTGGTGCTGCTTGGCCTGGAGCCTGCTGGTTGCCACCATGAACCTCTTGGTCTTTCTCCTGAATCTGCTCCTGATGTTTGTGATTTTCACCATTGTGCTGCTCCCTACCATTGTGGTGGTTTACTTTGGCTTCCAATGCCACTCTCAAGTAAGTAAGCCTTGCTCCATCTGGATGTTAACAGCCACCTCCATAAGGGTCTTATGGGCGGGCTCACGAGAACAGGTTTATGGTGGGTTGTGCTCACCTGCAGGTTCTTGGTGGTACAAAAGAGTGGTCTCTCCTGTCTGGTGCCTGTGACACAGCTACAGGCAAGGCTGGCATGTGCATTTGTCTAGGGAAGTACAGGCTTTATGGTTTCTGGACTGTCTTTAAGTGTTGGTTGGCACCCATACATTCAGTGTCAGTGGGAGAGCACAGAAAGGCTCTCATGCAAGAGGGAAGGAGAGCAGGGACAGAATCTGCCTGTGAGTGTTCAGCTCCTTGGGGAGCATGGGACTCCTGGGTCCTGATCCCCTGCACGCTGCTCTTGGTACACTTGTTAGTGTGAGGTGGTCAGAGACAAAGCCACACCATTTCACGACCAGATTGCAGGAGATGCCAACCTCGTGGGCACACCTGAATGCTGCCAGGAAGGATTTTTACCCCTCCCTTCTTCCAGTATTGTGGGAAACAGAAGCTTGAATGGACAATACAGTTGTATTCCCATGGAAATACCAAGCAGCTGTGTGAGGTGAATGCACTCCCTGGTGTGACAGAGCTGCTGTTCTCATTTAATGTCACAATATTTCTCTCTTTTCTGTGACCTTTATTACTGCCAGCCTGAACTCCCTCATAATTCACACAAGCCCTACCTGGGCTCTCATGGGGTTTGTTACTTTCCTTTAAGTAAGCCCTCTCGAGTGTCATATCTGATCTGCTAATGACTCATTATAGAACGAGTAAAGTCTAACAGAACATATAATCCCCTTCTTATGCCAATCTCCCATTCAGATGTGTTCCCAAATGTGCTGTACAGTTTCTCACACCAGCAAATGAGCCTGCTTTGTTAGTAATGTTTGTTCCAGCTTTTTTGCTGTCCTCTGCATTTCATGTTTCATTACTTACACGTTTCTTCTTGGTATGTTTCTATAAATATCTTTGGAATTACTTGACCAAGTGTGGATGTGAAAAAGCAGTTCTGATTTCCTCACAGGCAGGAAGTGTCAGACCACCTCCATATGACTCCTGCTGCTTATCCTAAGTTAGAAGAGCTCTTTTATTTCCTACTTTGAGGAAGACCTCACACACTGTAGTACCCTTCTTCCAGCAGGGAGAATGGACCCAAACTACAGATGCTTTTGGTCTTCCCATTCCAGAGGGTCTGAACTAAAGGGAAGTTTAAATATCTTCACTGATGTATTTACCTGGGAAATACTGAGAGAAGAAAGCTTTCCCCTTCCTTTTAATGCAACCTGTGCATCTTATCTAACACCAAGCTCCCAGGCTCAAAGGGCCTGACAAAAGGCCTGTGCTGTTGCTGTTTTCTCAGCACTGATGTATTTGCTGGTCTGAGAAGTTTGGCTTTGGTTTTTATTGCCCTGAAATGATGACAGTTCGGAGCTGCTGTTACTGAAAAGCTTTTCCTGATCCTGCAAACTAATGAACAGGGAGACATCTGTCATGGTCATTGTTGTGTAGAACAGGGCAGTGCTGCTGCTACTTGGAGGGAAGCATAATTCAAAGAGAAATCATGTACTCCTGAGCCAGGCAATTCCCACTGTGGCTCTGACACCTTCTGGAAACATTATACTATGGGATGCAAGTGTGTGTGATGCTCACAGGGTAAAGAGGGAGGGCCTGGAGGCCCTACAGAGAACAAAAGTCTATCAGAGGGCTCCTGATCTACCTGAATAGTCACGCAACCCTTCTTCAGTGTGGGTTGCAACGCTCATTTTACAGTCCGTAGGTGGTAGGATTTTCCCTTACAAAAGGGCAAGTGTGTAGAATGACTTTTGTTTTCGTGAAGAGGAAGAAATAACAAGAAATAACCTAATACATTCTCCTTGGGAGAATGTGCGGTGTTAATTGCTTTGGTAAAATGCCTGCTCTGCCTCCACAAGCGTAGTGTGGATGCAGATCCTGATGGATCAGAGGCTTTTTAGGGTAGGTTTAATAGGAGATTGCCTGTAAAGCCCTTAAATCAATTTTTTCCATGATCTGAAACTGCTCCTTGAAAGTCATAAACATGGACTTTAAATTGGCCCTAAAATGGGAACAAGTATGAGATCTACCTCCAGAATCACCCCTTCCAGCCTCCCTCTGCTCGAGCCTCACCTTGGGGCACCTCAGCTTCTCCTTGAACACAAAGTGCTCTCCAGGCAAAGGCTTTGAGAGGATGCAAAAGGGTTTTGAGTGCAGCCAAGTACATCAGAGGGGAAAGCAGCCCTGTTGCTGTAAGGAGTCTTAACACAGCCTTTGCTTCAATAGGCACGTGGCTTCACAAGAGCAGTCCTTTATCTTTGGGCTACTGCTTTTCAATGCCTTCCTGGTAAGTAGAGGCTGCTTTCTGCACTGCACATCCATTAGATGGATATTTTTTTAGCATGATGGGTTGTGTTTGCTGTACTGCTGAAAGAATCTGGGGAAGGAAAGCTTGGGGACATGGAGGCTGCCTGTGGCATCTGTAAATGCAGAACCACTGAGTGGCTCCGCTCAGATCTGCTGCCAGCATGAAAGGAGGGCTTTAAATACCATTCAGTGAGGACCATTTAGTGTGCTGGGTGCTTTGCAGCACCATGGGGTGAGTGGGTTTTCCTGCTTTTGCAGTGCAAAGGGGTGTTAAGAGGCAGGAATGAGTACAGCTTGTGCACAGGAGGCACAACACGGAGCGGTCTGTGCCAGGGCAGGACTCTGGAGAGCCTCCAGCCAGAGGGTAGCTATGGAGTGACCAGCCTCTGTCTGCAAGATCTTGCTCTATCTTATTTATTTGGTTATCATTTGCAGTGTGTTGTGCCACCCACAACGATGTGGCAGCAGAAGGCTTCTTTATTTGGTTTCTGCCTATCAAATAGCTAAGCTGTGCTGTTCTGATGACTTAATAAAGATGAGTGTTTCCTGCTTTAGGATCAGCATGCAATGCTCTTGTCTCACGGTGATGGTAATTGAAAGCTTGATTAAAGTGTGTTGTCAGTCACACAGTGCAGCCTGAAAAGCTCAGCTCAGAGGGAGGGAGGAGGTGTGTGAAAGCTCAGGAAGCTCAGTGGTGCTCTGGTCACCCTCCTATCCACCACCAGGTCTGTGATAAGCTCTGTCTCTTCCCACAGGTTCTGCGATAAGCTCTGTCTCTTTCCACAGGTTCTGCATTCAGCTGCCCACTACTGCAAAAGCTTCTTGGATGACAACAGCTCCTCTGCCCTCATCATCCTTGGCTTTGTCATCATGTCCCCTCTCATTGTGGTGGCCATGGCTATCTACTGCAGCCTGGCAAGGCGCCTCCGTCTCTTCCTGTGCTTCCAGCCATACAGCAGGGCTGTGTACAAGGGGGTGAAGTGGTGCCGGTACGAGGAGGGAGGCCTGTGCAGCTGTGCCAGGGGCTGGAACACTCAAGTCAAGGCCTGGGTATGAGTTTGCAGCACCAGAGGTTCTGCCATAGCCAGTACACTGTTCTCCCTGCCCTGTCCCTCCCCTCCATCACCTCCCACAACCACCACCCTGAGGTCTCTGCAGATGAAGGCTGTGTAGTGCCTAGATGTGAGAGGAAGGGAGATCTTCCCATGAGCCATCTCCTACAGCTTTGTCTGTAAGTGGGTAGGACTCTGCCCACCATGAGGAAAACACAAGTTCTTAATGGTAAAAACAATGTTCAGCCCTGAAAATATCAGGGACTGCTCCCAGTGCCTGTTGCCTTCAGAGCACAGCACTGGTTCCAGTCTTGGCAGCATGTTCTGCCTCATATGGGATGTAGAGTACACGTGCATAGGATTAAAGAGGGGGGGGAGCAGCTGCTGACTTTGCTGCATGCCTTGGAGAGGTCTCTTTGGGAAAGGCAGCCTTTGGGGAAGCATCCAGCCAAGAGGAAGCAACTGTGGTTTTCCCAAGTGTTGGGCTGCCAATGTTTCCAACCTCTGGCAAAGGTGTCTGTAGGGCATTGCCTCTGTGATTTTTGGGACCCACCACTTTCCTCCACATCAGATATTCTTCCCCTGCTTAGCAACCCCTCTTTCCCATAGTGTGTAGCAGTGTTTATGCTCCTTTTGCTGTTCCTGAGTCAGGTCACTGGGTTTGCTGTGGAAATACATGCTGATCTTTGGGTCTCTTCCCTGCCAGCTGCTGAAACATGCTTGTCTGGTGATGGCTGATGGCTGTTCACCAGCAAGTAGCTCCTTGTCCTTTAGGCTGTGGTCAGGTTGTTTTGTCTGGGGCTAAATCTGGCTGAGGGTTCAAGTCAGTCGTAGGATTCCTGGCAGGAGGAGCTGAAGACTCATGGTGGCTGCTGAGCACTACATGTTCTCCCACATCTGGATTAAGAGCTTATGCCTGTGAAGGACAGTGTATAATGTTGTTTTCTGAGGGTCATGGATACCCAGATTAGGGTTAGTGCTGCAGTTTAAGAGTGGAGAGCTGGAAAGGGTTCTGAATGCTGTGAATGAACTGGTGCCCCAATAAAGCTGGGTGCCTGGAGGACCTGCTGGGGATCTGCTGAGCAGGGGAGCCCAGCCTCTGTTCCCTCCTGTGCTTCTGCACAGCTCCCACAGGGCCTGAACTGATGCTTGGCTGAGTCAGCTGGATCTCCCTCTTGCTTTCAGTAATCTCTTGAAGAAATACCCCAGATCCCCTGTCATACGACGTGCCATAAATTGCAACGGAGCGGAAAGTGCAGTGAGAAGTTGGCAGGTAGGGAAAACATATGGCAGTGATGCATGATTCTCCCCTTTCAAATCACTGTGGGTCTCTGTAGTGTACACTTGGTAGAGTCTTTGTGCTCCTGACCACTGCAAGCTGTGTATTCCCACTGGCTGTTGTTCCCCTGTCTCCCACATATAACCTCTTTAAGTGTTGTGTATAAATAAAGATCATGCAAAATCTCCACTGAGGGAGTTTCTCTCTGTTCTGTCTCAAAGCACTGGCTGCACCAGTGATGTCTCTTATACCACACTACCTATCACTGTAAGGTAAAATGTAACTTGTTTTCTTTCTGAGGGTTGCTTTTCCTGTGTACCAAAGAGGAATGAACGTGATGATTGTTCCACCCCAGAACCTGAGTGGTTGAAAGAATGTAGAGTTTGCACGTTAATATTTTTCCCTTCCTGTAGGATTCTGCAGGGTGAAAGTGCTGACTACATTGCTCTGAT